GTTGTTTTCTGCTTTTTGTTTGGCAAACCATATCTAATCCATGCTATTTTTAAAAGATTCTGTACTTATTGGAGAATTCTCTTGGTGCTTGTTACTTGTTACTCTTGTTACTGAATATTGTAGTGAAATACAAACATGTATGTGTAAGTTATATTCTGTAACCTAGGACATATGTAATTATGGCAAAGCTATTATGCTTGTTTGGTAAAGCCTAATTTTATTGAGTGCCCAGCAGTCACTAAATGCAGTTTTCTAAATGTCAATTTAATTGGAGTCCATGTGGTAACAGAATGATGCTGTGTTCTTCAAAGGGAACTTTCCTTGGTAAGGCTGGTAGCTTCTGGAGCCTTTCTTACACTCTATTACACTCCATTACACTCTGTTATTTATTTATGCTATTTAATTCCATATTTGTATAGTATTTTTACTCTGCAATTTCTTAAAATTTTCTGTGCATTTTTCTATTTGGTTTTGAATTTGACAGTCTTGATATCTTTTCAACTTCCTGTGAACCAGCAAATCAAATCCCACCAAGACCCACCAATACAAGAAGCAAACAAAGCAAGTGAGTCTTGGGACAAATGATGACAGAAACACAAAATTCGGCTGAATTTATTTCTTTTATGTTTTGCCAAGTGGTTGTAAATGGGGAATAGTCTTGATTTTATTTTTATAGGCCTAATTCTTCTGAGAAGATTAACAATACTTTCAGCGTTTTGACTAATTGCAATTACAGCTGGCCTCTCTATCCAGATATTGGTGAGAATCGTGGAAGAACATGCACAGTTGGAGGGCACACAAGGGCAACTTTTGTTTTGTAAGGAGTTTGTGGTGCTGGAAAAGGGGATTTGCTTGTGTGGAGTACAGGCTGTGCCGTGCTGCTCATGATGCAGAGGAAGTTACAGGAGTGAGGCACTCATGAATAGCTACTCTCTGTAGATAACTGAGAGCAAGATGTGTTGTTTTCCTCCTGTTTTGCTGCAGTATGTTCCATAATCCCCTTTAAAGTGAAAAGCTTTGTATGTGATGAGGGGATTTTCTGTGCTGTGCAGAATATACAACTGAAAAAAACAAAAGCAAAGTGTGTGGAAGATGTGAGCCTGTTACCGAGTTAAGGCTGTGATCTTGCTGTGGGTATAGCTAGTGATTAATGTAGTCATGGCTCTACTCAGGAATGTATTTTATGATTTAAGTCAATATTTACAAACTAGCTGATTTGATATGAATTTTTAGTTTACATTTGGTTCATACAGTGAATTTTACATGGGTCCTGTAGAAAATAGGTGGTCACATATGTAATTAGAGTCTTGCAATGTGTTTGTCTGAATGAGCAAACTTAGACAACACTGGCAATACTTGCACAGCATTTATTTTGTATTTCCCAACTCTAGATTGCTCTTCTAGGTTGATGTGAAGAATGGTGCACTGGGGGTATGTGCATACACATTATGGTTGAAATAAATCTTCCTAAGCTTTTGTTTAATCAAGTTTTGATTGGTTGGGGTTTTTTTCCTTTTAGCCATATTACAGTTCTTGTAATGTCATGCTTGCTTCTCCCCTTAGGAGATTGCTATCATTTTGCAAGGCTTCAACTTGAGATCTGTTTTCTATCAGAGCATCCAGTTTAGATTGAAGCACTGTTTCTTACACAGTTTACTTTTCCCTGGGCATTTTAGCTTATCTTAGAGATAAGGGTTGGAAGTGCAGGAACAAAGTAATGGAGCATGCAAGGTCAGCTACCGCAGTAAGAAGGGTTAGAACTGACCTGACACCAGCAGCACATCTCTTCATCCACATTTTTTAGTTTCTCCACATTTGGTTATTTTACTCAGAAGAGAAACTAACTAGCTGCTTTTTGAATTTTTTATTCTCCCTTTACAATTTTGTGTAAGGTACCAGCTACATCTGTTTCTTACTAGCCATTTGACATGTACTTTTAAAAAAGAAAATCTGGGGATTTTTTTGAGCCTTTTCACTGCTTTTATTCATACCATGTCACTTCTCTTGAATACTATCCAAGATGTGAAATCTAGGGGTTTATCAAAAGCAAAACTCAACCACTTTATTTATCTGAATTTTGTCAGCTGTGGCACAAGAATGTCAGGAACAAATGACTGAGTTTGTAGTAACATTAATATGCTTTCAATTAATAGTTTAAATATGGATGTGAGGTGATTCAGTAGATCTAAAATCAAAACAGATACTTTTGTTAAGTAAATAAAAAATAATGGGAGAACTGCTTACCATCTCCTCTGAACACCAAATTATGGTATTGAAATGGGGTATCATATATTAAATAGCCTAACTACCCTTGAAGTTTTGCAGAATTAATTTAGGGTTAGAATTAATTTAAGTTTTTCAGAGAGTGTGTGTTTGAAGCAGATGTTAATGTCGCTCCCAGGTGTTAGTGGGAAATGCCAGAGGTGCACCTTGCTTGCCTGTAGGTACCAATGTTTTTAAGCTGAATGCTGATTCAGAGTCAAGGTTCTTTGTGATCTCTGTAGCTGGTGTTGTGTGATGCTTTCCTTTCATTTCCTTTTCCAGGTGCAAGGAATGGTAAATGCAAGAGAGTTTAATTTTTTTTTAAAATAAGATCCTTCTTCTTTTGAAATAATAGTCGCAAAATAATGTTTGTTTGGACTCAGTGAAAAAAAACCCTTTATGTCATCCCCCCTGCTTCCCCTCCCCCCACCAAAAAGAAAATTCTTTCTCCTGATTTTCCCAAACTACATCCTGTTTGCCCTGTTTTGAGCCAAACTCAGGAATGTTTCTCTCCATCTGTTACACAGAGTCTGCTAGTAATTTCTATTTCGTTAGTTCTTGCTCAGGTCCATATGGTCAGTAGCCTTTCCAGTTCTTGGTTATCTCTACATAAAAGGCACTTAATTTGCTTTGCTTAGATTTTTTTAATGTATTCTTTGGCACTTTATTAAGCAATTTATTATGTAGATGATAAAACATGGCATGTTTTGCATGCATGTAGACTTTAATCAGGTGCATCCCAGGATGCTTAGTGTCTGCCACAAATGTTTTCTGAGTTCATCTTGCAACATTAGGAATCTAAAGTACTGTGGTATTGCTTTGTGTCTTTGTACCAGTCATGCTTAGGGTCCATTTCCCTTTTTGTAGAAATAATTTGGGCAGTCATCCATTCCTGTCAGATCCTGGTATCATCTGAGCTGTTGCTGGCTCTGCCTGCCTGTACCAATATGGCTTAATTTGGGTAATAGGGTTTACCTTTGTAATCTTGGCAGAGTGGTAGTTTGAGCATACAAATGGCACTTCTGGGTAACTTCAAGGTTTATTTTTTGGGCTAGCTGGGTAAATTTTGTACCTGCAAATGTTCCTTCACTTGAGGTGTGTCAGCATGTATGGATCACAGTGAGTTCTCAGAAGCCTTATCCGCAATTGTGGTGGAACATCAGGATGGAGCATATGCAATAAATGTGCTTGCTGCTTAAATTGGAGAAACAAATACAGTTTTAGGAGTTTCTTTTGTTGAGCATCTGAGAAATAACAAGGACCTTGAAATCATTGGTAAAACTTGAATTACTGCAATTCAGCATATACACCATGTTAATACTAAGACATAAACTTGCCAGAAGACACAGGCAAAAACATTCACTTAAAATTACCAGAAACAAACAGTTTCTGCTCAGTTGTTGAATGTAGAGTTTGGGGATTTTTAACATTAGTACATGAAACTGTCATCTCTCTTTTTCTTTTTTTTTCAGTCTGTTTATTTTACATTGTTTGGAAAGTCTTTTTGTTAACATGCTGGATTTATCCCCAAACACTCAAAGAAATATTAAACATATGCAGCAAGTTATCGCAGTTTAAAAGTGGGGATGAGGGGTGCCTTTTTTTTTCCTAACAAAGAGAAAGGAAAAAAAAAAGAAAAAAGGGTCTGAACTTATAAGTCTACATGATTTTATCCCACTCAGGGATATTACATAGCACAGGAAATGCCGAGTTTCAGGTTAAATGTTGTTTCAAAGGTGAGCCATGGGTCACCTGACCTGCAAAGCTGATGGGAAGAGACACTGGCCTTTGATTGAGGTTCAGCTGTAAACAACCGGGAGCAATAATTTCCTGAACTGTTGTCACTTAATAGACAGATCTCTGAAGAAGCTCCTGTAAGACCTTTGCAACTTGTTTTTAATATTTCCATGTGAAATAATATCTATATATATCTACTCTGCAAGTTATATTATTGATTACAATATGACTTGTTATTGTTGAGAAGGGATTATTCTTCTCAATAAATAGAACTGAATAATCTCTCCCATTTTACTTAATCAATAACCTTACAAAGTAGGTTTCTCCTTTCCTCCTTAACAGATCTCCTCCAGGAATTAAATAGGTTTTTGGTTTTTTTCCATTTTAGAATACTTAAAAATAACCCAATTCAAATTTTTTATTGTTTGTTTAAATGTATAAAAAAGTGTGTCTGCTGCTGTGAGAAGGCTCACATGTGAAGATTTTCATGTATTGTGCATGGTTCTGGCCAGCTGGTTTTGGGTGGCCCCCTCAAGCAGGGAGGTTGGTCCTGATGATCTCCAGAGGTTCCTGCCAACCTCATCTGTTCTGCAAATCTATTATTTGGAAAATAGCATTAAAATTTAATAGTGAATTTTAATTTCATTACTTGCCACAGGAAAAAAAATGCAGTTATGGTAACCTGTTCATTTAGACTTTTCATTGCTTTTCTTTCTGGTAAAGCAGTGAATCAAGTGTGATATCAAAGCATGGCAATGACCTAAATAGAGCTGACAATGAATAGAATTCTAGACATTTACTAGTAACAGTCAGATATTCTGATCAGTGTAAAAATGCTTGATGTATTTTGTCCAAAAGTTTATTAAAAATTGTAGCTATGTCCCTTTTGAGAGTATGGCAGGGATGGTCATGATGGTCATTCTTATCAATAATTCTACAGTAATGCTAAAAAAATTACAGAGGAAAGTTGTTAACACTGTTTTGTTGGGTTTTTTTAACAGTCCACATACTGGGGAGCAGAGTTACCAGCCTGATGTACCCCAAATTCCCACTGCCTGCATCACTGTGGAAGATGCTGAAATGATGTCACGAATGTCTCTCCGTGGCACCAAGATTGTTGTGCACCTGAGGATGGGAGCTAAGACTTATCCAGACTCTCTGTCCTTTAACACTGTGGCAGAGATTGTTGGAAGCAAGTACCCAGAGCAGGTGGGTGAAAATATACAAAAAAACACCTCATTTTTTTCTTTAAAAATATGGAAGAAGCAATCAAAAAAACAAATTGGCCCTTTTGAAGAAATCCCTAAAACAAGTAACTTTTATTCACATGCTTTTCTGTATTTTAGACATCTTAGATTTTCAGTCTTTTTCAGGTAACAGGTTTCATGGCTATGCTTAGCAGGTATGTATGGTCGGAATAAACTGTCTGCACCACAAATTCTATTTGAATATTACATAATTCTACATTGTTGACTTCCATTTGCAAGACTTTTCTTCTTGCTTTCTTTTTTCTTCCAACTTCTTAGCTAAATATCATGCAAACCAAATTCTTGGTGCTGAAGGATTTGTGCCTGGTACAAGGTCTTCTGTGTCAGCTTATGACATGGAATTACTTTTCTGGCAGTATGTTTTATTGTGAAAATGTTGATGAAATCTCAGTTACACCAGCACTAGAAATTGCTGCTAGAATACCTACTGAGCCACAATGCTTTTTTAAACACTGTACTTTTATGGCTTCAATGGAGAAGAAGAATGACTATCTTTGACCTTTAAACCAGGCAAGAGATTTTAACTGTTTAAGAGATTTTATCTTTTCTGAGATGACAGTTCAGTAGCTCTGGCTTGTGGTGTCAGAGATCCTCACTGTTAGCATGAGTGTACAGTTTCAGCAGCTTGATCACTGGGCAGGGAAAGAGTAACTGCCCTGATGGTTGATTGGTTTGCATAACATCACCTGTGAGTCTAGCTTCACGAAACACATTTACCAATTTAAATGTTCCAGCTTTCTAATTAAGGTGCATTTAATTTAATTTTATGTCATCTGCATTTTTAACAATGCTTCTAACCAGTTAATTGGCTATCTTTCCTGAATTATGTTTGATGTATTTCAAAATTTGACGTTTCAATTCAGGTTATGAAGTGTTCAAATGTAGACTTCAAAGATATGTTAAGGTGCTTGCCTGGACTTGATTTTCTCTTTGCTGTCCTGCTCTGTTTCTTTAAGTAATGAAGTGGATTGGGATCTCTCCACTACTTCCACTGACAAGCTCATTTTTCTTAAACACTGGGTAAAGGCTTATTTACAAGCCCCCTGCTGCTGATAATGGGACTGGTAGTGGGCACACTTTGAAAATGTAACCAAGAAACAGAAAAATAAAACAAGTGAATGTTTAGGTTTTTTAGTACTCAGTTCCTGTTTAGAGCCTTAATGGGTGCTTCTCCGAGCTCATTCCACTGTGTTACTCTGGTAAAAATGGGAACCATCTCACTATTTAGGCAATAAAATACATTGCAAATCCAAACTCTTACAATGCCCTCTATGCCAAAGTGTTTCAAAATGCAGTACAAATCCTGGGGAACAGAAAGGTGTCATTTCCATGGGCCAAAATTTCACTTTAAGTTTTGAACTGAAAAAACCCAAACCTGGATCTCAACTCTGGGTGAGAAATCGTCAGTGGGTGGTATTGCTGTTACAAAGGTCTAAAGCAAAACAGTTTAAAATTAGGTTGAAACCTGTGAAACATAGCTGGTCATAGGTATTGCAGCAAATTATAACTTAAACCCCTTCAACCCCCCTAGCTGAAAATGAGGGTTGCTGTAGGACACTGAAGAAAGTGTGTGAAGTCTGGTGAAAAGTGATTCAGCTCAAGATGTAACTACACATTTAGGTATACTTGTGTTCATCTATATATTGACCAGAATTTAATATACTGCTTGATTTATCAATAATTCATTGACTACTTCCATGAGATTTTAACATGTGTATTAAAAATAATCACCATGAACTGAAATAATATGTCTGACAAGTTTATGGTACAAACAATATATATTATTATAAAAATACATTAAAGGAGAAATATTTTTTTCCATACCTCTTTGGAGTTTTTTGGGGGGTTCTTTTTTGTTTTGCTTTGGGGTTTTTTGGTTTGTTTTTTTGTTTGTTTGTTTTTTAAATTTGACCACTTTTTCAGCATATCCAGTTCCATTCCTCCTTTTTCAATCATTTTTCCAAGTGCTTTATGTGGATTCTTGCATATAGCAATTGGGGATTGGGGGGCTAAAACTAGAAAAAATGTTAAGGAAAACAGAAAAATAGTAGTTGACGTGTTTTTCAATATATTTTCCTAAAAAATTCCTGTATTTTAGACTTAGTGTTCTGAAAGTCATTGCTGCCGCAAGAAATGTTGAAGTCATGAAAATGGATACTCAGAATTGTTTGAGTTGTAAACTTTATTTTAAGCACCTATGCTTAACTTCAACACATTTGCATTTCCAAGTAACCTAAAGCAGGAAAAGAAATGTTATTACTGCTTTGTGAAGCATCAAGCTCTCAGGCGTGCGTTCATCTTCAGGGACAATATGATGTCACATGAGCGCACATGTCCTGTGTCTTTTTGAGGCATCTCTGTACCCAGTGCGCAAGTAATTTGGAAAAATTAACCCACTGATATTTCAGGTTTCCTTCCTGCTTTATCCTTTCTGTTTGACTGGCCAGTAGGCAGTAAGCAATCGTTCCAGCTAGGAAAAATGTATGGTGAAACCTACTGCAAGCTGCAACTTTGCAATATCAAGTTTTCAGGTGGTATAGAAAGCATTTGAACAGAAAAAGGAAATTGATTTTGTCATTCTGTCAATAAAGTTCAGTGTCTCACCAATGTCTCTGTTCTGTTTATAGTTGTATTATTCCTTCTAAGTTAGGAGAGGACTATTCACCCCAGACAACACTCTTCATATGTCAGAGCAGGTGTGATTGTGTGTGGTCAGAGCAGAGACATCCACCATCCTCATGGGAGTTGGGGTCCTTGTTTAGTGCCTGCTGAGGCCTGATTAACCTGTAGGTGCCTAAAGGAGGTGAGCCTGTGTCTATAAGATAATGAATTCAAGATCCACCTTTTCTTCATATAAACAAATGGGAAACAGTGGGATCAAACATGCTATGACTTGATGTTCTGGCAACCTTTCTGAGCTTGGATCCCGTTCTCACGGTGCTTAGGACAGCAGTGAGAGTAGAAAACCTGTGGGTTGTGGGACTTAACATATTTAAGCATGTATGACTGCTGACAACTGAGCCAAAAAGTTTGTGAAATGACAAAGGTATGGTAGCACAACCTGCTGAGGTCCAGGCTATTGCAGGTTAGAGACATTTGCAGTGCATTCCTGACTTTTATCTTGGAGGAGTATTTGAGAACTCTTTCGCACCTAGGCCCATGCTGCTAGCATCCTTTTGTGCTGTACTGTGTGTTGGTGAGATGTTTTATTTAAACTATGTAAGCTGACACTGGAGACTGACTGACTGAGAAATTCACAAGTTAACTAATGTGGTTTTCATTTGAAATTCAGGCAGAGTTGGCAGTAAAACATGTTTGTCTTCTCATTTTAATACATGATTGGTCTTAAAGTGCAGCAGCAACCGTTCCCATCTCTGGGGAAATGCTATAAATAGCAGCTGTTTGTTGTTAATCTGGCTTCAATGTACCAAATGTGCCAAACATGGAACCACGAAATATGTGATTAACTGAAAAGGTATCAAAGTGGATAAAGTTATAACTCTTATGCAATCTTGACTTTCAATGTCTTTTCATACTCTGTGTTTCTTGGTGTACAGCGCTGTTTTACTTATCCTACAGTTACTAAGTGATGGAAAAACTATTTCCTAAGTGCCCTACAAAGTTCATAAATTTGCTGCTCATTATTCTGTGATCCAGGATAAATACTTTAGAGCAGAAACAGAGGAGCTTATAAGTGGCCTTTTCAGAATCTTGGAGATCTGTTCCAGGAATTCACTCTACAAAGCTTTTTTGGCCTCCTGGTTTTATGGAATGCCATATCTGCAGGATGCACAATTTGAAAATCGTCTCCATTTTGAATACCAAGGGCATGAAAGACCATTGAAGAACGCACTGTAGCTTAGAACCATGTTTGATCAGCGCTTTGAAAGTAGCAGTCCCAGGGATAACCTGAGAAACAGAGATGCTAACGTAGTAGCATGGATTGTGAGGTGCTTTAGCAGTCTGTGATTGATGTAACAGAACCTCTTCCGCAAAGGATATAGATGCTTATTTATTTTTTCATTCTTCTTCCTTTCCCAGTTTCAAAGATCAGCCCTGTCTCAGATTTTGTGTTACTGGGCAAAGATCCAGGGAACAAGAGAACATAAAAATTGTCCAGGCTTCTGAGCCTGTTAGGCATTCATGCACACATAACGGAAGAAATAATTTGTAGACCAAAAATCCACCCCAACCTCAAGAAAAAAAAAAATCAACACAAAACAAACAGACTTTTCTGAAGATGTGTAATACTCAGTGCAGTGTTGTTTTATAGCCTGGCACCAGTTCTACATATGTTAACAAAATGTCTATCCATTAGGTCTTTGATGTGGCTTCCAGATATCCCTATGCTCAAAGTAAATCATGCGTACAATAGAGCTTTGAGGAGAAATATTTTAAGAGCCTGATGCCATCATGTTATGGCTCCATTATCACATTTTCTCCATGTGGATTGTTTTGCTATTCATTCCAAAATGTTGAATGGTTTCTAAATACAATTCTGTGAACCTCTCTCCTGTGACTGTAAGCTGATCCCTGTTGCTGCTACAATTTAAGTGAATTTGAAAGAATTAGAAGATAATTGTGGAGATTCGGTTTTGAAAGTTTTGAGAGTGCCAGCCCATTACTTCATGACAGTGAACTGATGGGCAAGAGAAGTAGAAAAAGAAATGGTAAAAAAGAAACAAGAGAAAGGGTGAAGAAAGAACATTGGCATTGTTAGGAAATGTATTTTCTTTGAAGTATTTTTGTTGATATTTGCTGAAATAAGTAGTACCTCTGGGTGTGTTTGTTTTATTAATAACTGGCTTTCATACTATTAATTGGAGGCTGTCTTTTATCCTGTGCCTGTGGGAGTGGCAATATTGCTGTCATTTATTCTAAAACAGAGGTCTTGTCATGATGAAAACAGTCAAATTAATATGAGACATTTATGGAGGAAAT